TCCTAGAAATAAAGCCGTAGCGCTCCGAGCGGTTACGTCACAATGTCGAAGAAGAAAGGCCATGGCGCAACTACGTGAGAAAATATATCTGGTAGCGACGTGAGAAAAATGCTTTTTATCGAGCGGCGCAGTGGTATTTGTGCACGCTTATCCAACATTAATATACGTTTCAAAAAAGCGCTGTCTTGTATAATTTATTATATATATATAATATAAACGTGATATACAACGCGTTACCAAGGTTGAAAGTACTAATTTTTTTTTATTTCCGAGTATTCCCGTAACACGCGGGACTACGTGCAGTCCCGCAGCAACCCCACACTTTTCGAATGAACCCATCAAGGAGGATAGAAGGGTAGGAGAGGGCATGACGCCAGCCGCGTAGCCTCCACAAGCCACGCACCCTTGATGCCTCGCCTCTTTCTTATTTTCCTCCTTACTCTCCTCACTTACCAGGCCAACGTGACCACATGACGTGACCGTAGCTAGCCTTCGCCTAGCTATGGGGTACTAGAAAACACCACAGTCAAGCCTTCGATCTGATAAAACCTACCGGACGGAGCGCGCGCAAGCCTGCAAGGAATCCTTCTACAATCAACCGTCCATCTCGCACGTGACATGTCACGCGCACCAATCGCCAGAGAGATCTGCGGTCACGTTGGGTACAATATCGTCGTCTTATGACTAGGCTCCACCAATATTGTAACGTGTCCCCTCTTAGTACTTATAACCTCTTTGACCGAAACTCCCAAACTACGTGTCTGAAGCGCGTCAGGCGCCACCATCTTGAATCCACGCGCAGATGGATGAGTGACTGTAGCTGAGCCAAGCCGAGTTGTAGCCGTCGCCTGCGCCAGCTGCCGCAGCAGTGGCAGCGAATCAAAGTTGTGTTGTTCGCATCTCGACGTAAGAAGGAAAATGCGCGTACTGAGCGACGTACTTCAACGTGCACGCGCAGTAAACAGTAAAACACCAGCAGGCAGCAGATCGCTGGACCCAAGATGGTGGCGTTGAAAAACGCGATGATGATGATAGCGACTCACGTAACTGCCGCTGTCCAATGATGCCGCAGCGAACCACAATATTGTTGAATAGAGCGACTGTTTTGTCGAGAAAATGCCAAAGAAAAGGAATGCGGTACTCTGAAAGCATAGCTTATATATTTAGTGACTCTACGGGGAGAAAGGGCACGCACTAGGAAGGCCGGGGAGGAGAGAAGCCTCCCGTCCTCTCCAACGTTCCTACTGCTCTCCCTTTCTCCGCTCGACCTCCATTGGATTAGAGCCTTGCCCTTTCTCTCTTCGCTTGGCGTTGCCTTCGCCTGGCAAACGTCGCCTCATAGAAAAATTTCATTTTCTCAATTATCTTTTGATCCAGGCAATGTCATGTTTTGAAACTTTTGCGTTCTTTCCCAACCACTAGCATCACATTCTCATGGAATTTCAGCTTTCTGCAATGCACAGATTAAGTAAGCCGAAAAACACGGTTCTCTTTCCTCAGGAATACCCTGCATGCACAACCACCAGTTACTGGCAAGAAACCCTTCTTCGAAAAGTTATGGCCTTGAAGCCAATGGTACTCAGTTGACTTCAAGGCCTATAAATAATACGATTGAAATAATTGAAGCAGAAATGCACTTATTGAATGTGATCATACAATTTCTCCATGTCAAGGGTATCTCTTGACAAACGGAGACGCTATTAGAAAAAGTTACGCAGAAATGTGCATGGAACTGCTTCAGGCAACACGAAATGTATGTCAACTAACTTACTTCTTTTACTCTTCCATCTGCCCACACATTACACAGACTGGTTGAAATTAACATGCGCGTGGAAGCACATTTTCTACCAGAGCCGTTCAGACTGACAATTGGGCAAAATATTGTAACAATGTTTTAATGCCTTTTTGTAATGTGAGTCGGCAACAAAACAGGGCTCGTAAATAAAGCAACAAACAATAAAAAGAAAAAGCACAACCCGACACAATTTCTAGAGTTGCACGATTTACTTTTTTTCAAAACCCCATCGAGCAACATCGGAGGTCGCCATTACTTGGGCGTAAAGCGCGTGATTCTTCGCCGAACGCCGACAAAGCACTTGTTTTCGATACAGGCTGAGTCAACTTCACGCCGGATGCTGATGCAGTCCTGGCGTCCAACACAGGCTCGGAGTATGTGCCCAAACAATTGCGAACTCGAATAATTGGCACAGCAGCCGCTAGATGGCGTGCACCGTTGAAAAGGGTCTATCGTCACACGGCCGCAGGAATAGTACTTCAAGCAACTCTACCACTAATCATGAATGCACTTGAAACCGTAGAGTCATTATAATGGACGCTAAAGGTTCAACTGACGCCATCACTTACAGGTGGCACCAAGTATGCTCGGATCTGCTGGACCCGCTTTCGGGTGTTCATATTAAAAGAAGATTTTGCGTTTTGGCTTACTGCTGTGTCATCTGTGAGTATCAGCATCAATCGGACAGTTATTACAATTTTCTTCCCTGTGCAAAAAAAAAAAAAAAAAAAAGAAAGACGGGATATTTTAGGCTTAAATATTTTTCCTAAAATCCACACAGATAAAATTTAAGTATCATAAATTCACCACACAAAGACGCCTTGTGAAAAGTTTCTTCGCACGAGTATAGCATCTCGCGAATACCCTATATGTGCATTGTCGTGGATGCATTTTAAGCAATTTACATTACCGATGCAGTTGTCACGTTCACCTCGGGGATTTTACCCATGATTTAACTTATCACATGCTCTTGTAAGGTATGAAAAAGAGGTCTGCTGAAAGGTATAATGTACCGTACTTGAGTTGAGTATAATTTACGGCACTTAAAAGCAAAAAGGGGCAGTCACTTTTATCCCTTTATTCCTTCTATGAGGTTGCTAGGAAAGAAGTGCCCGTATCGAGAGTTTACTAACAAGCAGGGTCACTGCAAACTGCGACATGTCAATGTATTTTAAAAGAAAAGGGGAAAAAAAAAAAGAAAACACGCTTTGACAACATTAGTGCGGTAAAACCCACAGTACTGTAACCACCTCCAATAAGCACAGACCGAAATGAGACCAATGGAGTTAGAACGCTTGCTGTAAAATCAAAATCGAGAGCAAGCTTCAGTGAAAGACGGCCAACACATCTGTGTTAGATTTGAGTTCCCGTCCTCACAGGAAGTTCCATGTTGGCACAGCTTAATAACAACACCTATAGCTAAGAAGAACTAAGCACTAAGACAACCCATACATTTTCCTAGTTTCTTAAAACCTATTTAGTATACACACTCATCTGGCCTGAAGGGATGCCTCTCTCCCAATGCACACCTGCACTGCAGGGAAGTGGCAGAACACTGCACAAAATGGCAGCAGAAACTTGAATCGGCCCTTTTTTTCTTCTACTTCACACCAAACTTAGCCCAATGAGTTTACTCCAGTGGACTTAAGCGCCATCTTTGCGAAGCTTAGGGCTGGCACAGGTATGTGAAGAGTGTGACAGGGCATACGTCATTGCTGGTTCATGTGTCTCTTGTACAGAAACGTGCAAACCTCTGGCACTTATTTAGGCGGTGGGGTTTGGTGCTTGCCACTAACCTGTACCGGTAGTGAAAAAGGCGCCTATAATTTGCATTTAAGTCCAACATCTGGTGCAGTGTAAACATAACCTCCAACACTACCTAGGTTTTGCGTGTGTCCAGTTTCGAGCGATTTAAAACATGCGCATTCATAATCGGTAGAACACACTTGTAGAAAATTCGACCAAGCCACAAAATGAATAAGGTAGTTCCATGCCAAGCCTTTTACAAACTTCGAGTGATTCTCGGTAACTACTGGTCGAAAGAGTCAAGTTAGGAGCAGTAGTAGTTTGAATGGTTGTATCGGAAAATGGCCAATTGTTGGAGGTATGGTTACCGATGCATTACAACGAATGGATGAAACTGTCATGCCACACCTTCACCATTCGAGTCAAACAGGTAAGTACCATTACACTTGATTTTCATTGCAGTATCACATTCGTATTATGGCACAGTCTGCGCCATTGCCATGACGCAAGTTACTTTGACAAACTGAGTGGTTTGGCTGCCACACTGCCCCCAGTCTTCAAGGCCTATGCAGAGAGCAAGTCGTCTGCTTCTTGCGGAAGAGCTGCGGCGCCGTCAGAACGACGCCGTGTTCCGATTGACTTTGAGTGGGTGGACCTCAATGCTAGATGCCTTAAGGTCTACCCACTATTTTGTTTTTCAATCAGCAAAAAAGAGTTTGGCATTCAGACATCATCCCAACCCTTCTACAAGAAGGAGACTAACTTGCACTCCGCATAGCTTTGAACGGTAGCAGTCTCAGCTGCCAAATAGGGTAGCGTTAAATTGATCGCCAATGCATGCATTCACTGCATACAGGGCGTTTTTGTTTGCTTTAAATCGTTTAAAAAAGAATCCACGATAGCTACACTAATGCGATCTGGGCAGGCGAGTTATACAGCTGGTGGAATATAATATAAGGGGTTAATCGTCACGAAAAGTTATATAATTTAAGTAAAAGTGGTTCATGAACTTCTTGAAAATAAACACGTTTTTAATCAAAATCTTTTTGAGCATCATCAAAAACCTCTAAATAAGTAAATTTTAGAAAGATTTGTAGGCAATAAAGAAAAAAAGAAAGATTTGTAGGGCGTGGGCACAAGTGGTAACTTTATCACACCACCACACATTTCTTGTGTCCAAAACCTTTCTAAAAGATACCAATTTAATGATTTTCGATGACACTCAGCAAGTTTCTAATTAAAACAATGTGTATTTTCCTTAATTAAAAAGCTAACCAACAAATAGGCAATTAACCTACTTATTGTGACGATTATCCTCCTATATTATGTCTCCCTGGTGGTATAACTGACCCGTGCAAACCAAATTAGTGTAGCTTTCACAAATTTTTTTACAGAAAATCAGTAACGACTAGAACAAAACACCCTGTGTATGGCATGTGCCCATTGTTGCCCATTTATCTTTGTCACCATACGTTTCAAACTCTGCCGGTAAGTCCCGAAGCCACCCAAGAAAGCTTACGTTTGCTTACGTCGACAGTCACCGGAGGTCAAGGAGTAGTAGCCTTACACGTAACATGCGAGGCACGGACGTTCCGGTGACTTGGAACGTATAACGTAAGAAAATGTAAGCAAAAGCTCCTCCGTGAATTGGCCTTTATGCTAGTGGCCATTGTACAATGTAGCAGCAAATGACTAGGCTACAGCCACACCTTGCACCAAATGCACGAATTGGCACCAATATGTATACCACGCCAACTGAAGTGGCAGAAAGGTGCCTTCGGCGGCGATTCCGCCAAACCCGTGCCAGAATATTTCGATAGGCTATTAGCTAGACGTCAGAAATCTGGACGGCGCGAGGGAGAGCGACAGGGGGAGCAAATGAACGGGATCAATGTTGCCCCGGTCCCTGCCTTTCACACCATTTGCGTTCTTGAGATCTGCAAAACCGACGGCATTTCGACGACGCCTCGGCTTCCGGGACGCGGCAGTCAAATGTCGCGGCTCTTCGTCGCGTCCCAAGATCACCGCGTTTCACAGGACGGACATGTCGACGTCTGCTTCGTTGGGTTCGGTGACCGCGCGTCCCTTCGCTGGATCGAGAGACCTTGCCGAGCGCCGCAGCAGACGGGGCGCCGACAGGGCAATGGCTGCCGCCCCAATCGGTGCCGTCACCAGGATAGAAAGCACCGCCACCGTCAACACCTAAGTTTTGGGACGGGAAAAGAAAAAAAAACAAACTGCAATTTACTGGCACCCGTATTTTACGCGGCTCGTCCGACCACACGTCCTCGTGCTACTGCTTGGTGTTCGAAACAGCAAGCTACGGTACATGTAAGGCCGTATGGAAGTCCTAATAAATAAGACGGCACAAAAAAGGACGCAGGTACAAATGCATCGACTCGCCTAACTCCACACCTTGCTACATAGGAAGGACCTCTGGCAAGTACAGCCCTTCAAATATCTGGCCAAGCCAAACATTATTTATACCTTTATCAAAACAGTTCACAGCCTCTCACAGGCTATAAATATCCGTGGTCAAACTGACATGGTGTTTTTAGACTTCGCGGAAGCGTTTCACGAAGTGGCCCAGTCAAAACCGATAATCAAAATCAACTCAATTTTGAAGAAATCCAGTCATCACGCAATGGTTTTGGTCTTACCTTTCCTCTCGCGAACAGCATCTGAAAGTTGGGTTGCGTGAATCTAGCCTTTCACAAGTGGCTTCAGGCGCACCCCAGGGAAGTGTCTGGCGCCCCCTTCTATTTCTGATTTTTATAAATGATCTGCACAACATCATTTCAGTACCAATCAAGCTATTCGCTGACAACTGTATTATTTAGAAAAAAATAGAAACACCGGACGACCAGGTCAACATAAATTGCTATCTACAATGATAATCGGTCTGTATGTCAATAACTAGAAATACAAATATTTTACGCTATGGTTATCGCATAAATGATGGCGTGCTTAACAGGGATGAGGAATATAAATCTTTAGGTTTAACATTTACTCCTGATCTACGATGGAAAACCCAGATTGATACCATTTTCAAAAAGGCTGGCAGAACATTGGGGTGCCTGATGCCTACCTTAGCTAGCTCAACACCTGAAATAAAAATACTTGCATATAAAAATTTAGTTAGACCTATTGTTTAATTTGCCAAAATCGTACGCGACACTCGTACCATAACAAACTGTTCTAAACTGGAGAAAATCCAGTGGCAAGCCCAGGGGCTCCGGAAGTCAATTCTGATCGGGGGGGGCGGGGGTCAAGGCTCACATCCTTGCAGTGCAGATCCCCCCCCCCCACCCCAACTTTGAAGATCGTACGCGCGGAAAAACCGAAATGGAGGAAGCGACCTTTGTTTAGCCGAAATCTTTTCTGAGTAACAAAAAGAGATCTTCAAAATCTCTAGCATGCAAGAGCGTTTCCGTGGCCTCTTCTGTCACACCGAACAAAAGTACGAAAATGATTGACGGATGGCAGAATTGCTTTTCGAGTCTAGGCATTGTGCAGAAACTTCAAGGGGCGCCTCCCATGCTAGGCCAGCTCTGAACCCTCTCCGGCCATTATGGTATCAGTGCGCTTAATTAGCACGGTATTGGCATGGCCGGGCTTGAAAGAGCCGATCCCAAGCAAAACTCGTCCAAGAGAGTGTGCAGTCCCTCCAAGGACATATGCTCCGAACTGCTGTTCGTCGAAGCGCTCTGCCAGAGACCAATTTCCCGCGGCAAGAGGTTTTACGTTTGGGGAGGCTTATCCAGAGCCGGAGGGAGGCCTCCTCCACGCCATCCTTTCCGATGACAAGGTATGGTAGAAAGGTGCCTTTCCTAAGCTGTGCCCGTCCTGCTGCCAGTGATTAAGATGTGACCAATACGCGCGCCTCAAGGCTGGCTCAGAAGAAACGTTTACTCCAGCACTTAATTAACAGGGGTATCAGCTTTACTCATTCTCGTCCCGACCAAACGTCGCTGTCCTTTCTTATTCTGCTTCAAGCTTGGGAGGCACTGTAGCATGTTGCTCTGACTACATTAAGGGAGGGTTGTGGGTCAGCCTTCAGCGTCGGGGGGGGCATGACTCCTACGAAAAAAACATGAGGGGGGCGAATGCCCCCCCTGCCCCCCCCCGGTTCCAGAGCCCCTGGGCAAGCCTCACACTTCATCTTTAATAAATATCACCGCATTGACTCGTTTATTGAACTATGTGAACTTGCCAACCTTCCGTCACTTGACAATAGAACCAAGCTTGATAGGTTAAAATCTATTTCCCAAATTATCCGTAATTACGTTAAAATTAATAGATCTGACTACTTTGAAATCTGCAAAAGCAAATTATCGATGCACCGCCATAGCATGTTTATTCCAAACCTGTCAGTTTGTAATGACCGTTTTAAATTCAGTTTCTTCCCTAGAGCAATCAAAGAGTTCAATGCTTTACCCTAGGGGTTCCCAGACTTTTTCGTCCCAGGAAACTGCAGCAAGCCTCAAAAAGACCCAAGGGAACCCTCCCCCTCCCTCCCTTGTTGCCAACCGATCGTGCTGGGCAATAAAGGCGTTTAGATAGTGAACAAGAGTTTATTGAACTGCTAGAATAAGACAAAATAGAGGACTACAGACCGTATAAGAAGGAAGAGGGGTTAACCTGGAGCACAATGTAAAATATATATACATATCAGTGCAAAAGGTGAGCTTGCTTTGTCCGCAACACCAACTCAATCTATGGCTCAGTCCATATATATAGAAGGTTAAACTAAGGGGGGGTGGGGGTGCACTGCAATTTGGATGCTTGCAAAACCCCCGTGTTCCCTGGAACCCAGTTCGAGAACCACTGCTTTACCCGATAAAGCTGTCTCATGTACATCTCTCGGTGAATTTTTAAAATTCATAGAAAAAATTGTTCAATGGCCACTATCATATGATTTGGCAGTGACGTTTATTTTTTCTTTGTTTATGAAAATAAATATCTGCTAATTTGCTCTTTTTTAATATTTGCTTTGCCTTCTGATGTGTGCTTCAATTATTCGTGGCATGATGTTGGCGTTTTTTATAGGGCAACTGTTCAGTTGTATATTTATTTATTTATGTTAAAGCGTATTTCTTTTTTTTCATGCCGTGATATCCATCCCTGTGATAGCTTACGGGCTGACAGTATCAATAAATGAAATGAAATGAAGGCTCGTAGAAGCCAGCCTAGCAGAAGCCCACGAGTGCTCACCTGGGTTGCGAGGGACACTGTCCTGTCGTCGGCGCCAAGGTTTCTGGCGTAGTCTAGAGCCACTGGCCCAATGGCTGCCTGCAGTTGTGAGAAGCCAGGGTGACCAATGAGCAAGGAGAAGGTTCTTCTGCTTATGAGCTAATTGTGAATAGAAAGGGCACAAGCAGGAATGGTCTATCCCAGACTGCAAAGGACAACGGTGGTAATCCCTGGCAAAAACTGACACACTGCACGTACGCCACGGAAGCTAGCACCGCAAAACGCCTCAACGTCACAATGCCCCAGTTCTACAACCAGAGTTGGGGACTGCTATGTTGCTTGTCATGCCGAAGGGACCCTCACAAAGCCAGGGTTTTAGAGAACAAAGGTATGGTTAACACAAATAACGAGACAAACTAGTATACATGTAGCTTTCCAAGATGCACTATGATTCCCACCACGCAAGTGTTTCAAAAACTGAATGTAATGAGGACTCTTGCTTTGTTTACCGTTACACAATGTACGGAAGACATGGGACAACATAATAATAAAAAAAATAGATTGCCGACCTTCCTTGGCTTTATTGATGAAAACATTACACATTAATTAACCATACACACTGAACCCTTGATAGCTGGTAACTCTGAATCAAATTATGATCATCAGATGCCCCTGTTGAGGCCCTTAAGGGCTAATAATAAAATTAATGCATTTAAACTATTCTATCAAAACTACCATATATACTATCCTTTAACCTGATCCATCGCAACCTGCCTGACAAAATGTACCTTGTTTTGATTTTCCTGTAAGAGATTATTATAATTGTATTCGAGTCTTTATTAATTATTCTCGCCTTTCTGCTAACATTGTATATAATTTCTTGCATTCAACCTGTATTCGTTGAATACTGTTATTTCAGGCACGGATGAAGGCAACTATGCATTGCCACAGTTGTTGAGACCTTTAAGGCCTGTCAACATACTTGCGTTTGCTTAAAACCGAGTTTTTGAGATCTCCTACGAGTGAAAACGCTGGAATGCTGGCGGCATTTTAGAGGTGACCCTGGAACTGCATTTCCCTGGAGAAAAGGTCTCGCGGTATTTGCAAGATTAGATGTACAGTACTATGTTTCTATACATCAGGTTGCAAAGAGCGCCATTGACTCGGCTGACATCCTCCCTAAAGTAAATCTTCGAGCCAATGCTCACTCTACCAGGCATTTAATATTTTCCGATATTTGCTCACCCTGCAACGCTTCCCCCCTATCTCGAATTCTAACGCCTTATAATGGCGTCGCCGCTCCGGATCTCGACATATGTGCGTCAGCCATTGAGTTCTGCCGCCCGTTGACAAATTCAGTCTTTACTGACTAATTTATATTTTTGTGTTTCGTACTAGTATATTTGTATTAGCGTGTCTTCAGTGTGATCCCATATATATTTGTTTCTCGCAATGTTTACATAGAAGTGCTCTAATCTACAGACCATAGTGGTTGTTTCTGGGAATTTTAAATAAAGATTACAGTCCAAGCTCATTATAACAGACCTGGTTACAACAGACAACTGGATATAACATACCGATTTGTGAAGTTTGGTTGGTTTTCCTTTATATACCATTGACTCAACTTCATATCTGCATACAACATACTCCTTTTACAACAGACCGAAATCTTCGTCAAAATCAAGGTCTGTTAGAACGAGCTTAGACTGTATTATTATAATCATTATATCAATAAGAAATAGTTGCTCTTAACATTGTTGAAATATCTTTGAGCCCATAGCAAAAAAATGACGCGCAAAAAAAGAGGAATTGTACGAAAATGCCCAGTGTCTCTCGCCGTTGTCTCTCGTCGTAAGAGATCTTGAGCGGTTTTGAGGCACACGGCCGTATGCAGCCTCAGGTGTGCGAACCGGCCTTTAAGGTACCAACAAGTTGTCGAGTTGTTCATCCAGCTTTTTTCTACACACCACCGTCGGTGAATACAACGAATGAACTATTGTAACCGACACAGGCTGCAGCGTCAGTTACACCACTGCTGACCTGCACTGTGGCCTTGGGCAACCATGCAATGGCCACGAAGAGGCGCTCCTTGAGGCTGAGGCTGGCCCCGTACACCACCAGGAAGGAGGTGGTCATCCGCAGCGTCAGCGAGATGCCAAGTACCCCCCAGCCCCAGCACTGCGCAAGGGCACGTAGTATATATCTCACCGTCTGCAACCAGACCCCAAACCGGCTACGACTACGCAGGCACACGGAACATTGGAGTATTCGGACGGCGCATTTTTTTTAGTAAAAATATTGAAGGATTCGTCTACCAAAGTAAGAAAGGACAAAGACCAAACACCTTTTCCCTATAGATTAAGCCGAGTTTGTGTAAAATCAATAAATGACACCCTGACGCTTATTTGGACAAGATAAAGGGGATCAAATGAAAGCTGATTGAATTTCTTTTTCCTCCTACCTGCTTATCTGTCATGGCAGATGCCGCAATGGCCTGCTATGTTATTTGATGATTTCATGAATATAGAAGGCTTAGCATGATGTTGGCTATTTTTATTGGGCTACTGTTTAGTTGTATATTTATTAAAGCAAAAGTCTTATATGTCTCATCCTTGTTCAGTCGACCTTCAAAGTCCTTGAGCGGGGACACAAAAGGTAACAAAACATGTGACCACTCAGTGGATGACTAAGCAAATTAGGACACTCAGTGGATGACTAAGCAAATTAAGATGATGACTCAGCACATTGAGAAGGATGACTCAGAACATTGAGAGGGATGACTCAGCACATTGAGAGGGATGACTCAGCACATTGAAAGCGATGACTCAGCACATTAAGAGGGATGACTCAGCACATTAAGACGGATGACTCAGCAAGTAAGTCTAGGCACTTGGGGGATAACATAAAATACCCTGCGAGTTCTTATTTATGAACCCAAACACAAAAATATAAATTAACCAGTCAATGTTACCAACACGCTCTTCAGAGAAACTAAAAAGATTTTTTTTTAATTTAAGTTGGTCCACATTTTGTTTATTTTAAAAAAATAAATTGACTTCTTACCGGCACCTTTGTACTAATAAACAGTAGCGTGACATGTTAAGAGGCCGATTTATGCGATCCCTTCAAAAGGCCAAAGCGCCATAGTGTCCGCACTGCACGTCAATGTTTTTTGTATGTCAGGCTTTACTACGGAGACCTTCTACCGCGTAGAGTACATGTCAACCTGCGCAAGAACACCCTCCGCGGGCCAGACTTACACGTGGAGTCCGACGCGACATCCTTGATCTGGACCTCGGAGCCAATCAGACCGAACAGGATCGGTTGGAAGACCTCCCACAGCAGGGCGCAAGTCTCGCTCGCCGAGGCCTGCGAGGTGCCGTCGCAAGGGCCGCGCTTGAAGCGAATTCCGGCCTTTCGGAGAAACCGGGAAGCCTTTTGAGTTTTGCTCACACACTTCTCGAGATCCCTTACGACCAGAGAAACATGCCGGCATCCATCAAGACTAGAGCGCGCAATATTTGTGAGATCAGACGTATGCAACCTATTTATGAAAAATAGTTTTCATAACGCAGTCGAAACTTTTTCGGGCCGATAAAAAAGAATGATGTGCGAAAAAGATAGGAAATACATGGAAATCGCGAGTGTTCCACGGATACCCGAGAGTTATCGAGGGTAAGATGATCATGCTGGAGGCGGGGCAACTGAAAAACCTCCTGGTCGTAATCGCGACGGAGACTATACCAAACGCGCTGCCCGAAACAAAGAACTCGTAGCCTAAATGCCATATTGTTACCCACCGAAGAGAAAGCCGTCTGCCGACAAAACCGAAAGAAACCGCGAAAAGCATTTGCAAAGAAATGGCGGACTGCACCCGCACACAGTATACGCGGCTCTGCCCGCACAGACGAGTCGCAAGAGCGCGTTCGTCATGTCGTTGCAGAGGCGTAGGGCAGAGACGGTTGCGGACGACCTACATGTTCGTCACCTCCTCGCTGCTTGTATGTATTGCAAACAAGGCTCATAAGCCGCGCGACGCCGACTGAGTGGTTGGAAACACCCTCAAATCTCGATGTACCACAGAGCGAGCATGGGTGATTCACCCGTCGTGACACTGGTTTGGTTTGGGCAGGGGGGGTGGAGGGGGCGGGGGTGAAGACGAGAGCGGAACAGGCTAAGTCGCAGACGCCGACATCGTTTGTCTCGAAGGAGAGAACAAGAAGGGAACGATGGAGGTAAATTTGTTTTGCTGCGATGAGTCGGAGTTGTTCGAAAGCTTGTCGACTTCATCCATTTTTATACGAAGCCTATGCGAGTGTTTTTCCTCGAAGTAAGCTGGAAATGAACTAGGCACAGACCTTGTAGGTGATGTTCCGCCGCTTCTCTGCACACACTAAGGCACCGCCCATGATGGGGGCTCATCGACATCACCCACTGGGACCACCGACGTCCATTTCTACGCCCTGCCATTCCGAAGTGATTGATATGCGTGGGCCCTTTCCCTCTAGATTATAATGCTAACTCTATCATTTTGAGCAAACGAGGGCGTGTTTATAAACATATACATCCATGCAGGGGACGTACGTCGTGGGGGGGGCACCACTCACCGCCCCGTGCTGATCCTTGTTCCACCGGAAGGCGGCCACAAACGCCACTGCGATGCACCCCAGGGGACCCGAGCCCCCAAACTCCACCCTGCGGGCCGCAAACATGACGCACAGCCCGGCCAGCAGCAGCAGCACGGGACGGAGTGTGGTCCGCTGACCCTGCGCAGAGCGTCCCTCGGTTGCCGCGTTTTGACCCTCAAAGTTGCACTGAAGTTGTTTCTGAGACGGTGCAGTTGTCACTCAATCTATTCTAAAATCCCGGGATTAGAACAATATGCGTCCAATTTACATATTAAAACAAGATCAAATATTGCGACGTACCAGTTTCTCCGAGATTCGGCACAGAAACCAAAAGGCGCCGTCGAATGTGTGACAGCCAACTGGAGCAGTCGCTTCCGTGTGGCAAGAGGACCGACCAACGGCGAACCGATTTTCAAATGTGTGCGATTCGTGCGTGGGAAGCGATCACTTGCGATTGGCTGTTGCATGTCCGATGCTGCCCTCTGGTTTCTACGCTGAATTGTAATAAAATGGGTTCGCCACAAACTTTGATTCCGTCTTAATAGAAAAGTTGGACGAGTAATAGTTTAATCTTAGGTTTCTTGGGATACTTGCCCACAGATTGAGTAACGACCATGAATAGACGATCTCGGAAACAACTTCAATGCCCCTCTGAAGTACTTATGGATCTCCAGGTACTTATAAATGCATAGATGAAAACAAAACAAAAACACACGCACACTCCGGAACAGTTGTCTAAAAAAAAGTGCGCAACTGAAAACATACTTTTTTTTTTTTTCATACAAAATCTGCAAGTTTGAAATTAGCCTCCTCAGGGTTGCCCCTCTTCCTCTCTTATCTTCGGGCACGCGCAATGGCAACACAGAACTAAGAATAGCTGAGGAGTAATTACTGGTCCGAGGGTAAATTTTGCGGTGCCAGTAACCTCTTCGACGATTAAGACGACAATCATTGGCCAGATTCAAATCCCGACAAGAGGGGGACGGGGCCAGCTCAGCACTGGCAGATTTCCGGCCGGTTTGAGCGGGGTCTCGGACGAGCAAGCTCACACTCTGTGCGCTGGGCAGGAACCAGAGGAGGCCTCCTACGACGCCTCCAAAGATGAGCCCCACAACAGCTTCCAAGGGACCCTTGGCAATGTTCCACGCAAGGTTGCCTGAAACAAAAAGAAGGGTTTCGTCCTGCTCCAAACAGCAGACTAAAGGATGGTTCACACACTTGCGTATGCTTACTATCGAGTTCTTGTTATCTCTTACAACGAGAGAACAGACTAGGATGCTCGCGCAATCCATGGAACTGGATTTGACTAGGGCGAAGGGCTGTAAGCAGTTAAGATACTGTCCAGAAGCACTGGTGAGTCCCAATGAAAACAGCGTTAGAAAAACGTTCTGTGTAATGTTACGCAAACATTGTGTGCAACATTGTATGCACAATTATGAAAACAATGCATGTATAAATATGAAATCATGGTTTACAATGTTACGAAGTGTTCATACGAAACATAGCAAAAACATTCTCCACACTGTTTATGAAAGCATTGTGCAAAGTGTTATCTTGTGGCCTGGTGTTCCCATGACAAAGACACAAAAACAGGAAACAGGGATTCCTCTGGACTAGCATTTTAGGTCATAACGATTACTTCGTTACCCTTCAGCGCTCCTTTTCATGGTGATGTTATCGAGCTCGATTGAAACCTTAAAAAAGAATGGCCACCATGTATGGCCACAAAACTTTATGCTGTGATCAGAAAATACATGTGATTTGGACGGCAATTAGGTTCTCTCGCTTGACAAACCGACTGTTGTATGGAGGTCCCAACGTGGAAATATCTTTCGCCGCTCTCTCAAAGCCGGTTTAGCAATTTGGCCGTTCACTGCATCCAATGACAATGACCTCGTTCAAAATCTTACTCGAGCAGATCCGAGCTACTCCCGCAGGTCGTGCCACACGATTACACAGGTGAAGCGACACGGGACGGCAGTGGGTTTTTAAATGCCGAGGTTCCGGTTCACCCACTCATAACTGCTCACGACCGGGCGTCCTAAAACCTCTCGGGATCTATTACGAGAGAACACACGACGCCATCTGTTGGGCAGTTGTAGAACATTTGACGGTTTGGTATATTACCCTTTCCTTTTCGCACATCATTCTTTCTTTGTTGGCTCGAAAAACGTTTTTGACAATGTCATAAACAATCATTACTCATAGGTAGTACATACATTTGATCTTGCAAACACAGCAAAAACTTTGCTCCAGCGAAATGATGTTCCAGGGCCACCTCATAGATGGCGCCAGCGTGTTTTCTCCTCGCAAGCAAACACAAGCACGTGAACGGGCTTTTAGTATGGAGTGAGGTTAAGTCAATTTTAGAGCACGTGCACGACGTCGACGCAGTATGAATGGATGTGGCAAGCCCTTCGAATCGGCCGTTGGCTCGCGCCACCCAGCCACGAAAAGGAGCGAGAGAGGGGCGCCACCTTTGGAGAAGACGATGCCGAGGACGACGCCGAAGCCCGTGATGGCGAGGACGTCGTCGAAGCTGGCCGCGGCCATGACCAGGGTCGGAATGCCCTGGTCCACCCCCAGGCCCTCGCTCTGAAGCCACAGCATGCTCGGCACCACCACGGCGGGGGACACCGCCCCCAGCACAAACCTGCGCTTCAGCCGCACGCGTGACACAAGAGACCTGTTGGACGAGTGGTTGAGTCCCTTGCGCAAACACTCACATGGTGGAAACTGCCCTTAAAGGACCACAGAAATGAAAAAAAAAAAATTTTTTTAAAGGGCCTAAATGGGACATTTTTTTTTTTTTTTGTGAATTTTTCCACAAAAATAAAGATTTGTTTTTTTAGCAATATTTACGTTGTTAGACTCAATTTAGATGGTGATTCCTCACCTCAATTTGTAAGCACCGGGTGGGATGAGGCCCCGCCTAGTGCTTACAAAACTAAGCACCTTTTCTTGGCTCTTACTGGTTGGAGAGATGATTGACACGTGAAATGTTTGTTGTAACATTGTTTCTGCGTGCCGTAATAGTGTTTATGTCAACAATATTTTTACGTTCAAGAAACGAATGATCTAGATAGTCATTATGGTTTTCAGAAATATCCCGAGATTGCATTTCCGCTTCTGCTTCAAATGATAACATACATGGCTGCCGGCGTTTGCGGCGTGCTCAACGAGCGCAGCTTGTTGAGCTCGTTTTGTTTTACGAGTGCGAGTTCACCCACTGCGGGGTGTGAGCACAAAAGCGTCTGGAACAAAATGGACATCCAACCATTTTGTTCCGAACGCTTTTGTTTTTTCTTTGTTCCGAAGCGATTAAACGCCCGTCTCCCGGCACCATCGCTCTTGGCCCTGACGGTGCTACGACGGCATTTTTGTTATTGGCTATTTTTTGTATGCGGAGAGCATGTAAAGTGAGTATCGGGTACTACAGAGACCCAAAGCGTAGAGTGGGTTATTAACGCAGGGGCGTTGCTCAGCGGTGACGTCTCCGCTTCGCACATGGCAGACCCGGGTACGGTTCCCACTGGTGTGCTGGTGAGCGTGGGTAAAGCCGGTCCGTGCGGACCGCTCGTATTTTCATCTCACTTGTACAGGTTACGGGCCTCCAGTTTGCGGCACCGGAGTTCCTGCCGGGTCATGACACCACCGTTCTGGTGAACGGTTACCGGGATCGTTCTGTCGGTGCCCCCCAATATGGACGGACTGTGACCTATCTGTGGGTTGATCTGCAACTAAACTTTCTTCATTTACTCGACTAATTGTGGATATCGCCAACAACACTGTTGTCGAGTCCAACGGCGCCATCTCCGATCAACGCCCATGTATTCGCGACTCCAACAAAATCAACGCCGCGTAGCGGCAACGTTGAGAAGCTCAGGAGAAAAGGTCGTTCCGACTCTGTCTTCTGCTATCGCTGCTAGGTTCTCGTAGGCAGCATAGAAACAAACATTGTTTCCAGTAATTATTTTCATGCCTCCACCGTGTCCTTTCTACGCACTGACTAGAAGAAGGTTTCTACCGTCGAAAAATCGCTTTGCTTTCATATGGAACACCGATTTCACGCTGCAGTACAAGAAATTTATTGGGGTCGCCCGCTGAACAACGAAAACGACGTCCTTTCGTCCGCCATTTTTCCTGACCAGCGTGCCCAGATAGTTCGCTGGAGTCGTGAATACTGCTGGAAACGCATTCAACCCTCGAGTGAGCGCGGGTGCAGCAGGACCATGTGGACCGCTCACACTTTCATCCTGCTTGTACGGGGTTGTCCTCATTCCTCACTATATGCTAAAAAAACGACTGAAAAAACGTTGCTGGTGTTCCCGTGCTTGAGAGTTTCAGAAAGCTGTTTGCGATTTTGTTGATGTAGTGTGCCAACCGATATAAACGCAAGCGGCAGTGGCCAGTTTCAATATTCTTGCCGACAAATTAAATGAGAAATATCACCCCCATGGTTTTATTGAATCACAGCTTTCTGAAAAAAAAAAGAATGCATATAAGTTTCGCCACCATACAAGACTCATCAACAGAAATGTGGGGAAAAAACTCACTTGCATGACATAAAATACGGTGCGGAACACAATGAAGTTTCCCTAAACAAAACAATTTATGGTGCAATATTTACACAGTAAGGCACTTTATGAGTTGGGACTGGGAGTAACAAAACATGCTTCAATTTTCAGCACATCGATGCAAAATGATGTTATGTTGCAAGGCTGGAAATGAGTATTGTTAGGTAAATATTGCACTAAAAGAATATTCCCGTGGGGGGTGGGGGGGAAGGTTTATTTTGTAATGTGCCACATGCTACCACTTAAAAGAATTTTGGAGGAGTAACTACTTTTTGTGTGTGATTGAGTTCAGCGCTACTGCTGGTTCGGCTCTAAGAGCCCCTGTGAGTATGAGCGAGTACTACGTAATCTGCGAGTGCAGTGCAAGTACTGGTCCCGCTGAGAGCACCTACTATTTTGAGTAAGCTCAGTGTTAGTACTGGTTCAGCTACGAGTGTGAGCGTGTTCAATGCGGGTGCTGGTTCAGCTGTGAGCACCTGTGAATATCAGTGAGTTCAGTGAATGTTGGTTCAGCTGCAAGCATGAGTGACTTCAGTGCGAGTACTAGTTCAGCTGTGAGCACCTGTGAGTGTGAGCGAGTTAGTGTGAATAATGGTTCAGCTGCAAGTATGAGTGAGCTCGGAGTGAGTATTGATACAGCTATGAGTTTGAGTGAGTTAAGTGCAAGTACTGGTTCAGCGGTGAGTACCTGTGAGTATGAGTGAGTTCAGTCTGAGTACTACTTAAGCTGTGAGTGTGAGTAGTTTAGTGAGAGTACTGGTTCAGCTGTAGGTATGAGTATGAGTTCAGAGACCTTAGTGACGATCTAGCAAACCAACCAGGAGAGTTGACTCGCAGCACTCACCCAAGAAGCGTGCCCCACAGCCAAGGGAAGCCGAGAAGGAGCCTTGCACTGACGGCGACGGCGGCACATTCCATAAGGCAAGGGCAGCACGTGAGTCGGAGGCAGGCTCCTCCCAGGTTGCGCAACACAGTCGCGTCCAACCCAAGCCCAGCCCGGATGAGGATTAGGATCAGCGCCATGCTCCTTGCAGGGGAACGAGACAGCAAACTGTTAAAGCACGCTCATACAATGGACGACTCTGCATGCACAGTGACAACCTATTGAACTATACCATATGAACTCGATGTTTAAAAACATCTGCAAGTGCACTGACCACCTATTGAGCTAATACTATACGAACAGAGTTTAAAAACATACTAAATTACAAGAAAAGAAAATGTTTAATTAACAGTCCTAATTACCTACTGCAAATGAATATAGATGTTCTAGAGACATATTTATTTGAAATTACATAATTTAGAACTAACGAACTCCAAGATATTATGTAGAGCTCCAGGACATGGAATTGCAAATAAAGTTTATATCTATCTCTCTCCCTCTCCAGAAATATAAAGCAGAATAAAGATATGGCTAGAGTAGAGTTGAAATATGATAATACTACTACAGGCATTCCAGGTACCAATATAGTAAAGATTCGGTAGAGGTCCAAGTGGCGTCGCACTACGCTCGAGGAGGAAAAAGGGAAGGAGAGGAGGATCAGAGAGAGAGAGGGTGAGGAGGAATCCCGTCCCGTGTCCCCTGCGCTCGGCGGAACGTTGCGGCGGGGGCTTACAACTTTATTTTACCCAGAATGGTTTTCGGGGATGGGGACAGGGTCCTCGCACCCTCCTCGGGCGTCTTCGGCCGTTTGGACGACTCGGATCTGGACGTCCGGTCTGGAAGGTCCCCCGGCGATTTGTTGTGGGTACTTTACAGACAGATTAACAGACGAATTCGAAAGCAATATTTTCTTTTCCCATGCTTAGGGCATTCTAGCGGATTCAGAAGCTACGTTTCTGGATTTGTCGCGAGTGGGTGCAGAATCAATTAAGAGGGTCAATATATTTAATACCTTCGACTCAGTGCACCGGTGCGATTTGTAAACGGAATAGGAACAGCCCCTTTCGAATAAGTTTGGGAAATAAATTTTTACCCAGGATTAACCCAATCCCCAAAAAACTATAATTCGCTATGAAAGTGGCTAAATGGAACAAAAACCATGCATGTAGCACCCTCTTTAAAACCTGAGAAATAGGCCCAATGTGAAGAGCGCATGCTCATTGCTCCGCCCCCCCCCCCCCCCCCCCCCTTTCATCGTTCTGCCAAGCGCAAGAACGCGGGACGGGTTTCCTCCTTTCACTCCCTAATCCTCCTCTCTCTCTCTTTCCTCCTCCTCCTCGAACGTAGTGCCACACCACTTGGACCTGTACTAAGACTCTTGCCCGAAGAAACTGACTTTACTAAAGAGATGTTCCATACTTTACAGTTTATTATGCTCAATAAATAAATTTAAAGAAGAAATATTTCAGTGCTTTTGTTAATTAAACTATTCCAGTACTGCAGGCTTTTGACATTACACTAAGAAAATGTTTATAAAATTTATCTGCAACAAGATTATGAAATAGTTTCAAAGTAGAAAATGACAGCTCTCCATTATCTATTACTCTCTTGCTTTTAGAACACATCTTAGAAGTCCGCACTCATTTACCGCTACTGAACTTCAAATCCCCCAAATGCACACTTCTCGCCAACAATCGCTTGCTCGGGAATCTGTCCCGTTGTAGGATTCAAACACCGAGCATGCATCCGTGACTGTGCGAGTACTTGGCCCCTCTAATATTTCGTAAACATCAATCTGGTTGAGCGAGGAATTGCATAAGAAGTGTCTCATAATTATCTCTAGGTCGTACGTGGTGCTGCCTCTGCGACGATTGATTCAGTCGTCACCTGAGATCAGAAGCCCAGCTGGGCTCGATGTGCCTGACGACATTGATGGCGTCCACATTCCTCAGGATAAATCCGGTGATGAGCATTCCTGCACAGGAACAGAGGTGTGAGGACACGCAAAAAAGAAGCCAGTCGGTGAATGTTTCCAACAATCAAAATATGAGACCGAGGAAAGAGAACAAACACGCACCTCCGTGTGCATTTGTCCTCTTTCCTATGCGTTCCTCGGTTTCGGTTTCTCATCGTTATGAGGGGTAGTAGTGCAATGTGCCGAGCCTAATGCTCCTGGTGTTCCTCGGTTCCAGTTTCTCGTCACTATGAGGGGTAGTAGTGGAGACTGTCAAACCCACTGCTCCTAGATGTTATGCAACGCTTTGTGGAGATTACACTTCAGGCAGAGTATGACAGTGTTGCACACCACGCGCAACATCGCACGCCATCTTCTCCAGCGCCTCTTCAACCAACCCCCAGGTCACGAAAATATGCTAGTGCCGGCTTCTGTAACGCAATTTGTCTCCACTTGGGAGCACTCTGATGCACGGGCAGAAGAGCAAACACAGAACACGCGGTTCCAGTATGACCCAACAAACGGCAAACGCTGCGGCCCCTGTCAGTGAGTTGGGCAGACGGGGCGAAGCGTGTGACATCTCTCCGCGACCGGAGTGCTCTCCGACAGTGCATTGTAATGTGCCCCGCTCCGTTGCTCTACAGTAGGAGTCTCCAAACGTTATGGCCAATGGGCCGGATTGGTGATCCGTCGCGGTCCCAAGGGCCGGAAAATAAATTTGGCAATATAAATGAGGAAATGCTAAGTACATAAATGAATAAAGCATCTATACACAAAACTAGAGTAAAAAAAAATAACATCTAGTACATATACACAAAACTAGAGTAAAATTTAAAAAAACAAATGAGGTCGATGAAAACATATATTTATTTTTAAATTGAGTGCGTCACTAATTATGACATTATAAAAAAAGGTGGGGCCCACAAAACTCACCAGGCGTAAATCAAAGTGCGTAGGAGCTTATTCACGCAGGCCAGAAGACAGGGAATGGTAGATCTGATCATCCCGATATGCAGCAGTTATGATACAGGACTCTAAGACTGATGCAAATGTAGAATGTGCAAGAATTTTAACATTAGTTACACAGACATAAAACATAGGACCATGAAATAGTAATGCCGGTGAGTTTCTTGGGGCCCAATTTTTTCGTACTGTCCTAATTAGCGACGAATATTATGACAAGAGAACTCGCATTTTGATTGAGGTTTCTCTGATTCTGTCTGGCATCTGTTTGCACTTTTGACTGTACTGTCGAGACCGGTTATAACGAAATCGGTTATAACGAACTAGCGGCTACAGCAAAGCGATCACGATTTCCCATTCCCTTTTGCACTTCGTTATACCCGAACTTGGTTATAACGAAATAGCGGATATAGCGAAGTGATCCCCGATTCCCACTGACTTCGTAATATCCGGTCTCGACAGTACACTTTTGTTGTTTGACTTCTTATGCACGCTTATTTTTGCGTTGGTGGCGGCGGGCCACGGGGCATCACTGAAAAGACCCCGGCCATCCACGGGCGAGGTTTAGAGACCCCTGCTCCCCTGCTCTACAGTGCTCAAGCTCTATTCGGGCGTAAAAAAAAATTATATCAATAAACCAATGAACAGAGTCCACTGAAACTTTTCACAAAGGTGTTTGAGGTTTTGCATTTCTTATACTCAGATTTGACGAGTGTAGGTTTCAGGAAAAAGATTGAAGCCTGAAGAAACTCGTTTTTTTGCTATGCACAGGGAAAAAGACGGCAAAAACTGTCTGGTTGATGCTGCCACTCACGGACGGTGCCATGCACACTCGGATCTGGTTTCAGGTATCCATCTCAAAGAAGATTTCACGTTTTTGCTCTATGTTGTGGCATTTGAGAGTAGCAGCATCAACCGAATGGTTTTTGCCATTTTCCTCTGTGCATGAGAAAAAAAAACAAGCTTTTTTAAGTTTACTTTTTTCTTTCTCTTCAAACTTATGCACTCATAATTTGAGTATGACAATTACAGCCCCTAAAAACACCCTTGTAAAACATTTAATGGCACTCGGTTATACAAACTTTTTTATGCCTGAATAGCTGGGGTCATAGGTTCCACCGTTTGCCAAGCTATGCCGAACTACAGCATAGCTGCAGGCGGGTTACAGGCATCACAGTGCAGCCTGGGCAGTGCAAGAGGTAACAAGCAAACAAACCAAGCGAACAGTGACCCACCTAAGAGTGGTGGCAGCCGGACAAGCTTGACCAGCTGGCCGCCCGCGTAGGCGGCGCAGACGAGGGCGAGGAGGGAGAAGAAGTGGCCGCCAGGCAGCGCCCCGTCCCCGAAGAGGCCCCAGAGGGCGCCCCAGGCCAGCGCCAGGAGGAGGAGCCAGGAGAGGCCCTGCGAGACGGGGCCCTCGGGAGGACACGACAGCCGACGCGCCCTGCCGACGAGACCTGCGTCCAAACCCCTGGAATCAGAGCTGCTTCTCCAGTTACGGCCGAGTATTGCGCCGCCTGAATTCTCAGAATAAGCACCTCACGTCAATTAAACAAAAGGAAGCGGGAATAGGTTTTTGTTTATACTCGGCATGAACATATTCGCACCACATTGTCAAGGCCGGCGTATTTTCGGTGATGCTCCAATGCCGTCAAAGCTACTCGCGAAAGCGCGTGGCTTTATTTTGTTCTCTCTTTCGACTCGAAGCACGCATAAATGAGATGGCCAAGCCGAAGACTGGTGCTTTCATGGCAGTGTGGGAATGCATCACCATGGAAACTACACTGCACTCGACAACATGGCACAAAACAGTTGATGGCACGTATAGATGTGCAAGTTTTCACAAAGAAAGTGTGTCCTGCAAAAGCTCACATCCTTTTTTCTCCTCAACCCCCCCCCCCCCCCCCCCCCCCCATTCCTACCCGACTGGACTGGATGGCCTCATCCTATCACGAGAACAAACAAACAGGATGATCTTGTGGTGAGCGATGATCCACCTAGACAATAAACACCAAGGGGGTGTAAGCCTGAGAAGTAGCAGAAAAGGAACAGAACAGAAAAAGACGTAGCAGAACAGAAGTAGCAGAACGACGACACATCAGTGATTGGATCCAGTGTTTTCCCGACGAGGCAATGGACCTGTCGGAAAACGTGCGGCACGGTCCGTGGCGCCGAAAAGAATGCTGGGAACAATAGGTACAGAATCCGATATAGCAGACGACGGAGGCAACGGAGGAAATGAAGGCGAGTGGGCGAGGGCAGTCGAGCAATTGCTTTACTCTCTCTCGGGGCTGGATCAGGGACCTGTCGTTGTCTCAAGAACCCGAAGATAACAAGACAATAAAAAGTTAGCGGAACCCATATGCTTCATTTTTAAATTTAATATTTGGTAATTATGACATTACGAAATAGTAATACCGGGAATGGCAGTGTACAATAAATAATAAGGGGAGAAAAACCGTGTTTTGATGCTAGTTGCCTCTCAATCTTATTTTTATATCTTCGTTTGTGCTTTTACACACGCTTATTTTTGCATTGGTAGCAGCGGGCGTGGAAAGACCAAGGTCATTTGCGGGCTGGCTGAAATGCCACCGTGGGCCAGGGTTTAGAGACACTTGTTCTAGACTCAAAGAACTAAATGGTCCGTCTTTTTTCTGTCCTTTTGATTTAGTTCTCTAGGTTGGGGCCCTTTATTAGCATTCCCCTTCCCCATGCCGAAAGACACACTGTTCGGATTCAGGTTCTGTAAGCAAGTGGGTTACACCGAGATCCTTCTTAAAGGCCCTTTTTCCAACTTCTTTCTTGAAAATCTACCACAAAGTTTTGGAAGATACAGCGCGATCCGCCTGATGGAGTGTGAATACAAAGTGAAACGACTTTCAACGTCTAATCCAAATCAATTAAAAATTATTTTTATTTATCTATTTAGAGACACTAAGTACTGACTTATCTTGGAATGTGTCATAGGACTGGGTTTTTGTGCAGGATAAACATACAATAAATGTTTTGTCACTGCAACGAACAAATAAACAACAATTATGGGGATCGAAACCCTCAGCCCATCATGCTTGTATTAGCCGCTCTCAACCTTAGCATGGATGTCCACCGCTTGGAAGTCAAAGAGGCAACTTTTAAAAACGAAAGGAGCGTGCTAGAGACAGAGCACCAATAAACATGAAGAAAACGTGTACAGGACTGGGCAAGACAAACATCCTCCGACTAGCTACAGTACTTATTCCCCCCAAACATGAGACTCTTTGAGGAAGAAAGGAAAAGAGGGATGGGGAAAGAAAAAGAACAGAAGGAGGCAACAAACATTTTTCAAAAGTGTGTGCCCTCCAGCACGTAACTGCTGCGTCGACTATGCCATACTTTGGGGCATGCATTGTGCAGCGTCGGCGTTTGACATGAACTCGAATTCCATCCTACGCGTTGCGTAGCAAGCGACGCCCAAAATACGGCTTCCACCAGTGCTGCTTGATAGACTTTTGAAGCGGGTCCGTTCAACCTAAAGGCTCATCCACGTGGCCGCATCGGCATTTGGGTTCTGGTGCCACCTTCTTCCCTATCCACTTCCTCAAAAGGTTTATGGGTGTTTGTGTGGTAAAGAAAACATTGTTGTTAGTTGAAAGTTAGTCCAGTCCGTTTTCTCTATGTCATTTGTGAAAGAACCTGTTTATTCACCCATCTCCTGTGATCGAAAGAATGAGCTTGAACATATACCAAAACACAGAAAAAGAAAAGGAAAAGGAAAAAAGACTGGACACGCCTGGCTCTCTGCAGCGTTTGCTATATCACTGCAAAGAACCACATCGGCAACTCCTTCAGAACCAAAATAACGCAATTTCGGGGAGCGTGTTATGTTCAAAGGTTTTTTCAACCAAAAAAAGAAAAAAAGGTTGGGCTAGCTTTTGTGACAGTGTGATATAAACAGTGCAAAGAGAGGTCCATAATCCAAGCCCTGCATTAGTAAGAAGGAAAAACAACCTACCCAGTCTTTCTTCACCGGGGAAAGTAGCATCCTGTTGTGGAGCATCTTCAATGGCGGGAATGGCGTGACTAGCAGAAGCAGCCGCTTCGACTGTCGTAATGTCCTTCATGATGCTCCGGGCAGAGTGGCTAAGGCAGCTAGTAGGTCACATGACGTCCTGGAAAGAAAACTCAGATTAGATACAATGCTTTTGAAAGCAGACAGTCGGAACTATAACAATTTGACGCAAGCTCTCAAGAGATAACCAAATTGAGAGCACTTGTCGGTGTGTGTTTGACTCCGAGGCGACCCGAGAAAACCTGGTTTATTAAACAGATAGCGCTCTCGAGTCCATGTGTGGCATGCAGCCTCAATGATGACATCATAATGTTCACACGATTTTATCACAAAACACTGCGACGTCATGCAAGAGATGAAGTCATCTAAAGTAACGACGCCTCGAGATTTTGTGGGCCTCATTCGAGACCAGGTTTTTGATGAGAACGACTTCATGGTCTCTTTCGATGTTACATTTTTGTTTACGAACGTCCCAACCACTCTCGCAATAAGTGTTGCTGAAACGTGCCTGCAAAGTGACGTCATATTTTGTCACGTGGTTCTGACAGTTCAAGACATTGTTATCCTTTTGTGGTTTTGTTTAAATCAATCCCATTTCACCTTCCGTGGGCAAATTTGTTACCAGATAAGGCTACCCAATGGGTAGTCCAGTTTCAGTGACCATGGCTAAACTTTTGATAGAACACATGGAAGAAACGGCGTTTCAAGCAAACATATGCCCAGTTAAGTTCTACCAGCGTTTCATACATTACACCTTTGTTATTTTTAACCGCGATCACGTGAATGACTTCCACCCGACTTGGAACAGCATTCAACCATCTATTCCATTCACATGGGAAGTAGAGTATAACGTGCTACCTTTCTTGGATGTAACTAATTGCCGAGGCGACAGCGGTCTTTGTAAACCCTGTGACACTGGCAATGTTTTAAGTTCTAACTCTCACTACTCTTTGGAACATACGCGGGCTGTTGTAAAGACCTTAATAAACCGATCTGAGCACATCCCTTCAAATGCGGAATTATGTGCATCTGAAAATGCAATTGTTGTTGAATTCCTCTTGAAATGTGGCTACCCGCAAAGATTTATTGAAAACACGTGGAAACAAATGCACCGAGGCAGGAGTGAAAAAGCAAGTAACTACAAAGCTGGTGTTGTGGCCATATGATACATGAAAGGTGTCTTGGAATCTACTCGCAGTGCCCTCCTCCCTCTGGGCGTACAAACAACTTTCAAGCCCCACCTCAAGCAGCGTGACCTCATTTCGAAACCAAAGAACCCAACCCCTCCAGAGTCCCAGTGTGGTGTGGTGTATAAGGTGAACTGCCAGGATTGTGAGTCATCCTACATCAGCGAGACTGGCCGGAAACCGAACACCCGCCCCAAAGAAGAGAAGAGGGACATGGAAAAGGCCACACATGCCACAATGTGAAAAACTGAGCTAGTAGTTCGGAAATTAAAAACAGCGCGGAAAGACGAGGACCAGACAAAGAAGTGACACGGACGTAGCGCTGACTTACAACTGAGTTTATTAAACGCAAACTCGCAATATATATTTGCGGTGTCACGAACAAAAGAACAGAAAAAATTCAGCCCATGTGATGTATCACCAATAAAAATAAAACAATTGGTGATACATCACATGGGCATTGTTTTATTTTTATTCGTGATACATCACATGGGCTGAATTTTTTCTGTTCTTTTTGTTCATGACACCGCAAATATATATTGCGAGTTTGCGTTCAATAAACTCAGTTGTAAGTCAGCGCTACGTCCGTGTCACTTCTTTGTCTGGTCCTCGTCTTTCCGCGCTGTTTTTAATTTCCGAAGTATGTACCGACTCGCCCAAGCCTCAACTTGAGCTAGTAGATCAGTGCTGGAAAAAGGGTCGCAGCTCTAAAGTTCAGAGCACAGTGATATAGGCGTGAGAACAAAGATGGGGTCTATGAAAGCTTTCAGAGTCGTGGTGCATTCGTAGCAACGTATCCGCCTGCAATGCAAACCGTGGCCCCCTTCCTAAAGTGTATGCGGATGTCCTTATATAGCCTTCTGGTCTCTACCCTTCTCATTCGTGTCCCTGAACACGCTTTGATGATGTCTCTTGCATGGGAAACAAAACGTCTGATTAAATTGTTAATATTGGTAAGTCAAGTCGGTATAGTTTTCTTTATTATTATGAATCCTGGCTTTTGGAACATTTTTGCGTAACATGCTTTACTGATGGTCATGCGACACCGACATTATTGTGACATGAAGTAACCCTGCACTTTCATTTCATTTGATTTATTTGGCTCGGGAGAGTTTGCAGAAAGGCCGACGGCCCGTACCGGTCGACCCGCAAACACCGTCCAGTTGATTATGGAATGATATAATATACAAGATGCCCGATAAGGACAACATGTTTTTCGGAACGTCGTGAGAACCGCCGTGAGAGTCTTGGAGGTTCGGCGGCGGTTCAGGCGAGTAGGCCAGGGAGCTAAGGTGGCCTTCGGCGGGATGTTCGATGAACGTTCTGGATAGTAGAGCCCTGGCGGTTGATGGTGCGGTCGCTCACTTCAGTGAAGGCAGCGGCTCCAGGCGGTGGCACAGTCATAGCAGACAACCACTACCGCCGACACATCGACACCCAGCCCGCGTTCCTAGCTTTGAGACGTGCATTTCTAGCGCGAGCGCTCGTTCTGCAGAAGAACACTTCAAAGCAGCGACCTCGAGCTCTTGTGCTTGTGGCATTGGTGAACACAGTATAGTCATGGGACACCATGACATCAAGTGATGTCATATCATGTGACCGGATACGACATGCTCATGTTGCAGCTTAAGCACTAGCCGAAAGGCCGGGCAGCATAAAACCGCCTCTCTCTCTTCGTGGCTCCATGCAGTACGTCGCATTTCTCACCGCTTTGACTTTTATATAACTATGTAGTTAACACAACTGCAGTGTGATGTCTCCTAGATATGATGGCCAATAATGCCCCCACAGATATGGTAACTACAGGGGTAGGTGTACGCAGCGTTCTGTGGCCATTCCACGTGCCGCCGCTTCATGACAACAAAAGTGGCGCTGTGGCCAGGGCCCCGAGCTCCAGGGCTAGGCAGGTGCCCGGTGCATTCTGCTCGAAGGGGCATGGCGTGAAGCGTCTTTTCTGTTTTTGTTGTGCACTGAAGTATTGTGCGCGAGCGCGCGGGGCACGAGATCGTGTCGTACTCCGCGTGATCATGCAGGACGCACTTTTAAGCGTGGTGCCATCGCGCGCACCACGCGCAGGGTCCCGGTGCCATCGGCATGATGAAATAGTGGCATGCATTCGATTTTCTGCTCGGTCACAGACATAAAGCCACCAGTTTGGCGCGTACTAGCAAACCCTGGGTACAGTGTTCTGTACCTTGGGTACAGATAGCTTGCAAGTGTCGCTATTACTGCGTACCGGCGGTTATATCTACTTACCGCTTCCTTCGAACTACGACTTCTGCGGTGTGAGACTAGCACCTGAACCAAACACTCGTGGCGCACAAAATACCGGCATGGCTGCGAACGACGCCGAGCAAGCTATGTATAACCGTCGGCCGAATGCTTGCCTTTTTCTTGATTCCTTACAGGTACGCGACGTCATATGGTCCGTTTTTTACCACACTGTGGTCTTCAAACGACAGAAACCAAACTATGAACTCGACAACCGTGTTGAACTCGACTTCGTCGACATGTTTGCAGACGACACAAATCGGTGCTAATGTTGTGAGCCAACGTTAGTTGTGAGCTGCTCAAGGCGCTCTCAACTTGGTGTATAAATGTCCATAACGTGAATGCATAAGTGCTCAGATAAGTTTTTTTTTTTAATTTATATGTTATACAAATTTATGCGGAGGGCAAGCTCATCTGGTTTTTGCACAGAACGCCGAGACCTGATTGACTGATCGTGAGCCCCTATCTCAGCGTCGTCTGCTCCTTTGCAACGTAGTCTGCTCGCAACGTCGCCTGCGTCTGTCTTAGCTTTCCTGCGACTTTCGGAAGTGCAGGTCTTTACGAGCGAGCTCGACTTCGCTTTTCAGAGAGGGCAGACAAAATAACTCGAGCGGTACGTTGTTTTTGTCTAACAACTAGCCGACGCGCGGCAAGGAGAGAAGTCAAAGGACTCACTGGCGAGGTGTCCGGAAGCGCCGAGGTTTGTTTGCTAAGAACCGAGAGTGAGGGTGTCCGCAAGTTCCCTCCCAAATACCTTTTCCCTCCTTTCGTGTGCGGCGAGACTCCTCACCCTTTGAAAGACATGTTTGTCCCGTTTGTCCTTTGTCCTTCTTGTTCCACTTGTCCAGGGATTAATCTTGTCAAGCTCGCTTGAACCTTTGCATTTAATTGCATTATAACAATAATTGCTTCTTGGTGTCAACGAGTCTACAACATAATTTCCGCGATACGTTCGACGCCGCTCGGGTAGCTCGATCGATCTTGCTCGGATTCTCTCCCACAGATTAGCACAGGTTTTCAAGCTTTTGCCTCTTGGGTTTACGTCACACAACTGACAACAGCCTTTTAGTCGAGCGAGAAAGTTGTGACAACAAGCCGCGATCGAGCACTTTTGGGCCATGATGTGCTCACAGTACCGATCGCACAGACGCATTTGTTTAATTACAGTCACTACATCGGCTGCCATATGTCTTTAGCTGATTATCTTTAAACAACTGATTAAACGGGAGGTATCATTCACGAAACTCGTGCAACTAAACGTTTTAACATAGCGATGAACATGGTGTTGCCGCGGCATGCTGCTCTTAGCTCGTTGCAGCTACTGCTGTGGAAGGTCCGCCTTGGGCAGTCCATTTAGAGCCGCGTAAAGTGTGGTAGCCACCATGTGGCTGCACTTTGCGGCCCCGCGAAGACACTCACAGCGACTCTCTAAAATGTCACCTTTATTGGAGAGCGTCATCTTTATCGCGTAGCTACTGAAACCCTTCACCTCAAAAGAAAGGATGTATCCTTCAAGGTATTTCCTTTCGTCTTTTTCGAAGGCCGCGTTCTCGCCGGTGAATGTGCGACAGACGCAGGAAAGGTAAAGCCACTGATCTCAATGACAACTGGGTAAAACAGTCATCGCTTTGACTAGCAGACGACGTCAACTGCGTTGACGTCGTCTGCTAGTATGTATGATCTCTATGGCGCCAACCGCGCCACCGCACCAACCCGTCGACGCCGTTAAAGAGTGAGGAGTCTCGTCGCACACGAAAGGGGGGGAAAAGTATTTGGGAGGGAACTTGCGGACACTAAATACCAACTGCGTTTGTTTTGCCGCCACCTCCAACTTAATGGGATGTCACGAACTACGGGTCATTAAGAGTGACCCTTTTAACACTCAAAAAGCACTAGCAACCATAGTGTCACGTGGTAGTTTCAAGGAACGTTGACATTTGAAATAAGCGAATAACGGAACGTTGCCTCTCCCTCACCAGTGGCCAGTGGAAAGAAGCAAAGATGGGTGTCGGCGCGCTTTTCGCTAGGCGCCAAGCTGTCAGGCGTATTCGATAGCGAGATTCTAACCTTTCCAGCCTTTTTTTCTTCGCATTTCTTACCCTTTTTTTTCTTTTCTTTTCAGGGGGCGCGCATAACGGCGGTAAGCTTTGTTGTAACGGGACCAAGAGAGACAAGTCAACTTGACTGTGGTTCGAAGGCGTCCGTAAGCATTTCGAACGCCACAATGTGGCTTTCAGATGAGCGTCAATCAAAAACGTCGCGTAGAGCTTGATTCCATCGTATCTTGACGTCACTCCTACTTAATTAAATCCGACGAGCGTTTGTTTTCATAATCTGCTTTTCTTTTCTCCTTGAGCTGTCAAGAACGAACTAGCTTAGGGGCTGCTAGCAAGGACGAATTTGTGCACATGGATCTCGGTGAAAAAAAGCTGACTAAGTAAACGCGGAGTGAATTTCAGTGACGAGTTGCATCAATCAGTTTCGCTAGACGCTGGTAACCGACGTTTATTTCTCATACGTGTGCTAGCAGAAGCTTATCTCGAACTTCTCTCTCGTACATGCGTGAAACGGAGGGCATGATTCGTCCATTTAGCAACGAATCGGCAGAAATTCAGATTTCTCAGCGCCCGTTCTGAATGGGACGATCCGCTGTCTACAAGTTTAGGGTTCCATTTAACACATCAATGCTGATAGTTGCTATGTGCAGGTTTAGTTTGCAGCAAGACACTATTGCCAAAAAGTACCGAGCATCCACCCATTCTACATAAGTTCCACCCTTCAATTTTGTAACATTTAGAGAATACACGAAGGACATATCTTTACATATTGCCCTATGGAGCGTGCATCCCCCAGTTTATGTGATTATCCGAATTTTGAGTAGGCGCTTGCTCTGAATTTCGCGGTAAGACCCGTCCACATTCGCGTTTGACTATGACTGACTGGGACAAGAGCGATATTTAAGCCTGTTGCGACAGCTTACGACCAGCTGCATTGCTGCACAGTCGGTCGTAAGCCATCGCAAGAGACTTTAAAACCGGTCTTGTCTCAGTCTGTCGTAGTCACATGCAATCGTGCGAGCGGGCCTCTGATGTTTGCAAAATAGTCCAGGCTTCCAAAAGGTTTTGTGCGTTCCAAGATCACGGGGCTGACAGTCGCAGAATGTGGCAACTTTGCATAGTCCATTGACATGGTATGCCTCGAGAACTGTTGCAGATACACGAGAAAAGAGCTGTAGCTTTCTTCTTTTTGTATTCTCGTTTCAGGGAAAGCATCGAGAGGCCACCCTGCTGGCATCATCTTGTGATACGAGGACGCCATTGGGACTTCTATGCGCACAGATTTTTTTGTGAATTAGAGCAAATGGTGTTGCGCTTGTGTTTGCTTGTCCTTATTGCCTTGTTTGTAGTGGATGGTTTGCTGCAGTTTCTCTAATTATGCACTTATGCTCTAACTTCCAGTTGCCCCCAAAATTGTGGAACATACAAGAAAGTGAAGAAATCCAAGCCCTGAAGCTCCTCGGAGATACTTTTCCGCAGACCTCGACTGCTCCGAGTTGGAGCAAGTGACGTGCAATTTGAGCTGTACCAGAGGCTCTTGTAGTTGTGCGCTGCCCTTGTGTTATGAAAGTGTATCGTTATCTATTGCTTTCACAGCTCTCTTGATTGTGAACCTCTGCTTATTTTGCTTCTCCTTTCCTGTTCACTTTCTGTGGGCCATATGGACCTTCCTATAGTCTGCGACAGGTTAAGAATTCAGGGGAAGCTTCTCCCACCTCTTTACTTTTCAGCAGAGCGAACACTGGTAATGTTGCCTCCTCTCTAGCATTTGCTCTGCTAAAGTGGCAAGAGGTGAAAGTAGCTTCCTCTGAACTCTTGTCCTGTCACTGACCATAGACCGTTTGCTGAAGAACGTTTGAATGTCCGAGGCATCCTACCTAAAGAGCATCACTGTGTGTGGATATTCAGTGCTCCCATGTTGAGGCAAAGACAAGGGCGTCTGCTTCAGTTCCTTCTTTTTTATGGCGACTTGTTTCGTGCTCCGTCGATACAATGGTCTAAGGAGCACCACGTCTGGCCGATTGCTTGCAGGGGACATGGACTTCTTCAGCTGTGGTCTGTGCAGCTACAGCACCACCTTCCAGAAGTACTTCCAGCAGCACCTGATGAAGCACGCAGATCACCGTCCTCACACGTGCACCGTCTGCGGCGATAACTTCAAGATGAAGTGCCACCTGGTCCTTCACATGCAACGCCACACAACCAAGTCGACCGAGTCGGTGGCGAGCAAGAAGCCGCTGGCAAGAAAGAAACTGAAGGCAGCCAAGAGGATGCTTTGCAAGCGGTCCGCCTCGCTGCCTCAGCTGCCGGAAGAGTTTGCTCCGAAGCCACGGCAGCAGCTCGAGTGCCGCGAGTGCAGCTTCAAGACTTGCGTCTACAGAACCCTAATGGTGCACCAGGAAACGCACAAGTGTGACCGCAGGCTCAAGTGCAGGTCAGTGTTGCCAGTTTAGCGTTTTTCCGCTAACTTTAGTGGTTTCCTGCATTGTCTGGTGGAAGGAATTGCCGTTTTGCGGTTGGCGGAGCTTTTTAACAGTTTTCTAGTCATATTAAGATTTATTTTGGCAGTCAAAGATGTTCTTCACTTTACATTTATGAATCGTAAATGTGTGTGGCAAATGAAAAGACATGAAGCCATCTTTTTTTTTTTTTTTTGTTTACTTTCGGTAAAATTTTTCTTATGAGAATTACACTTGCGACACTATTGACATATTACAGCGGTAAATATTGAAACATGCTTTGAACTGATTTGTGCGTCCACCTCTGAATTCAATTTCCACATACGGCCGATGACATGCGCCCAGTGAACTATGCGCAACGATTCAGAAAATGAATGGGTTTTAAAGGATCCTGAACTTTGAGACCGATCGTTGGAAGCTCCAAACGACATCAAACGAATCGCATACTTCCGGAAAATGCAGCATGTAAACTAACGCTTTTAAAGGCCGACATACACTTTGTGCTTTCCACTTTTGGTTGCCTCCTTTCCTATATTCTCTCCACTTTTTACCTTGCCCCTATTTGGCTCCCCTCGCAGCTTAGGAGAGGGGAGCGCTTAGAGGATTATGTTCTCTACAGAAAATCGAGGTTGTACGTCGGCTTTTAAGTCACTTTAGATAGCCCAAAAATAAAAAATTCAAAGTGGGAAAAAAAAAAAAATCAAGGAATGAATTTATTTTGTTAAAAAGGAAAACAAACAGATACCTCTTCTGGGCAACCTATGCCACCACTTCGCAGGCGATGTACGTGTAGCAAAAAGTGCTGCCAACTGATGGCGTACGCACGATTCAGGTTCTTTTGCGGACCGTCTGCTACCGTAACCTGAACTGGCTGGCGCTTTTTCGATGCGGCATACACTATTTTTCACCAGCACTGATCACTGCATGTGCATTTTTTTCCGAGTGGCGGTGTACATCGCCCACAAGAGGCTTCTGTTTGTTTTCTTGAACGAGGTGTGTTCATTCCTTGACCTTTTTCTAATGTGAAAGCATTAACTGGTCCCATGGAGCGAGCTGATGTCATCAGTTTGAAGCTCGAAAATGGCACCTGGTTTCCGCGATTTCAACTTCGATTCGATTGGCTGGCGTGCGTCGACGGGGCTCCCATTGGCCGCTGTGCTCGTCAGTTTCCACGACCGCTCACCCCATGGCGCTGCTTGTCCATCAGCGCACCATCAACACGCAGCGTCCAAGGTCACCAGGGGAGCATGCACGCTGACTGGCGACAAAAAGTATGCAGCAGACGACAAAGGGAGCGGACGAGCTGCTTGCATGTTTTTCGCATTCACAACTCATAAGAAGTGCTTAGGTTTACCTCGAGCTTTTTTTTTTTTTTTGCTGTAAACTTCCACCACCTGCTTGCACCTGTGTAGTAACGTACAGCGCGATACGTTAAGCTACTGGTTTATATGGGTTGTCTAAAGTGCCTTAAAAGCGTTTGTCTACATGCTGTTGAAACTTGTGCAAAACATGGGAAGTTCACAAGCTTTGAACGGCCACCAAAGAGTAATATCACGCATTCCGAGTGAAACGTGAGAGCTTACTTTCTAAGAATTCCTTCGCTTAATGTGCCATTTTTAGACTAAAGGCAGAACTCAATAGTAATTTTTGCCTCTTGCCTTAATTTTTTTTTAAGTATTCCTTTAGCATTTTTTTTATTTTTGAGTTTGCAACACTGGTGCAGGTTTTGCGACTACATCACGGTCCACAGGAGCAGCCTGCTGTCGCACGAGGCCCGCCACGCGTTGCAGATGTCGCCCAGCATTGCGGCCGGAGCCGTTGCAACGCTCAAGGCGAAGAAGAAGAAGAAGAAGCAGGTCTACAAGTGCCACACCTGCGGCTACACAACCAAGTACATGGGCAGGCTGACAACCCACCAGAAGAGCCACATCGTGGCCGCGGAGCCGTCCCTGAATGGAACCGCGGAGCCGAGCACCGAGGAGGACCAACTGCCTCACAAGTGCGACGTGTGCGGCGATAGCTTTAAGATGAAGAGCAGCCTAACCAACCACACGAATGCTCACAAGGGCACACGCAAGTTCAGGTGCACGTCCTGCCCCAAGCTGTTCAAGACCAAGACTGGCATGCAGACTCACACCAAGGAGCACGCAAAGGCGCTTGCACCGGCTCAGAGGGAGGACGGTGCCAGTGGCACGCGGGGTCCGATGTCGCCTGGCGCGGTCTACAACGGCGACGACTCGAAAGTGCGCCGCGGCGCGCAGGTCGTGGAACGAATCTACTGCTGCCTCGTCTGCCCGGCCGAGCTGAGCTCTCGGCAGAGTCTGGAGAACCACATGGTTTCGGACCACGACCAGCTGCGCCCCGCTTCGAGGTCAAGTTCTCTATATGCATGAGTTTGGGAATTTGCGACCGTCCGTTCAAAGTCTCGTCCGGTGGCCCGTTTGCTTGGTGTTTTTTTTCCGTGAGGCTGACATTTAATCCGTTTTCTTCTCGTGCGCGGCTCGTTCGGTGGAACGATAAGGTCAAATAGCGCGATTCCGACGCAGTGCCTGAAGACACCATATAACCTCTACCTTGTTGCTGTTTATGTGTTTTCGGTTTTGTTTGTCCGCCTTGAACAGCATATGAGTGCAATTGGATCTAATTAGTATCGACCAGCGTTTGGTGGCTTGTTTGTTTGGCCTTTAGTTTTTGCAAGGCTGACGTTTGTGCCGTTTCATAGTCATGCGCAGCTCGTCCAGTGGAACGACAAAGTAGCGATTCCGACAGTTCATGAATACACCACGTAACTTCTACCTTTTTGCTATTCATGTTCCTTATGTTATGTCTGTCCACCTTGGACAACAAATGAGTGCAATCAGATCTACTTAGTGTTGGCCAGTATCGGAGTTGTTTACTTGTTGACTAGTTCTACTTAAGCTTTCAAATAAAGGACCCTCTTTTGATCACCCACTGTAGCGTATGTTAGTGGGTCTGCTGCTCCCTTAAACATTGCTTTAGTCCATCTGAAACTGACCTCATTTATGGGATAAACTTTAGGAGAGGGGGACCAGAGTACCTTCTTAGAGGCAGAAGTTAAAGTTGGAGTGTATTTGCTCCTCTATTTCAAATAAGAATCGACCAAGTGATCTTTTTAAGCACAGCATTTACTTTTATCTGTGAAGAGGTCCTCTCTGGTAAATAGCTGTCATCTTTTCTAACATAAAAGGAAACTCGGAAGTGAGTACCTGCATTATTGTACACTTACCATCCCATCTTAATATATATTTTTAAAAAAACATTCGATCCGCCTAACAACGAATTGGAACGGACGTCACGAGCCATCCCGGCTAATACAATGCCCTGTGTACACCCCGCGACCTTCGGGAAGGTCATGGCGACGTTCGGGGCATGTACTAGTCTCGTGATACGTTCCCAACGCTGGATGGGATGGCGCGTAGTGTCTGCTGCGGTCCGTGGTAAGGTGAAACTGAGTATTAAAGAGTTCCTTTGTACCTTGAAATATTTGGTCGAGAGAACAAATCCCAAAATGACTGAAGTGCATACCGACATGCGTGCAACTTCCCGCAAGCGTTTCCCACATTTTTTACGTTGCACCGCACCGTGCAAGAACACGGAGGCGGATGTTAAAAGTAGAAGCATACGCAACTGGAACCAACGATCAGCCGAGCCCATATGGACAGAACCGGCGGAACGTTGAACTTACATTGCCTGCGGTGAAAAGTGATTCTAGCGAATTTTTTTAGGGCAAATGTAAATTCTGCACAAACAGCATTGTTCGCAAATGGTCCTTCTCTGTTGGAATGGTGCATTTCCGTGGAGCTCGTCAACCAAGTGACCGAAAGCCTTAAGGCCCGTTCACACTCTTGCGACCGAGTACGACTGAGAGAGACGAGATCTCTTAAAACTTCTTAAATGTTTTTAGAATGAGGGAACACACTGGCATTGTGGCGCCATCTATGCGGTGACTCTGGAACTGCATTTCACAAGAGCGAAGGTTTTGCGGGATTTCCGAGGTCAAATGTACATAATACCGATAGAAAGGCTCGTTTATAACATTGACAAAAGTTTTTCGAGCCAAGAAAAAAAGGATAATGCGCGAGAAATAAAAAAAAAATATGCCGGACCGCCGAGTTTACACTGCTTCCCAATAGATGGCGCCAGTGTGTTCTCTGGTTTAAGAAGTTGTAAGGAACCCAGGTTTAAGAGGTCGCAAGCAGTCGCAAGAGTGTGAACGGGCCTTCATTCGCACACTTCCGTCTGCTTACGACCGAGTGCTTTACGACCAGGTCTCGACACAAACTCCAGAAAGTATTCTGAAATACAAAAGCTGAGATACATGTATTTTAAGGCCAAGATACAGATACTGAGATACATTTGTCTTTTATCTACTGTTACATCCCCTAGATACTTCTGAAAAACCAACAAAAATGTAAAAAAAGAAACGCAAATGAATAAAACATGTAGAAACGAAGATAGACAGTACAGAAATGTACTGTCTGTCCCTACATGTTTTAATTCATCTTTTTCAAATTGTTTCTACCGACCTGCTTCTATTTTATCTTCAGCAGAAATGTATTCCGGTATAGATAAATACAAGAATTAATTGTTTTCCCGAATCTTGCCCCAGTGAACCACTGGAAACCAATGAGTGCTTGACAGGAGTTGTCTCTTCAGAATGAACCCTATTTTGCCGTGGGGGTGCATTTCCAACTGCAGTTTGAAGTGTTTCCGAGTGTCTCGGAACATTGATATTAAATAACAAACGGACCTAGTCTGCAGGGGGCCTGTGCACATGTTCCGTGCAGGAAGAAAAGCCTGTCCTAAAGTTTTTTTACTTTTATGACTGACAATTTTTTCTCCACTCGCCCTTAAAGGCCGACATACACTTTCCACTTTTGCCTGCCTCCTCCTTTCCTACATCCTCTCCACTTTCTACCTTGCCTCATCTTGACTCTCACAGTTTAGGATTAGGAGAGGGGAGTGCTAAAAGCATTATCTTCCCTGCAGAAAACAGGTTGTACGCTTGCCTTTAATTAAAAGCATTCCGTCTGCTAGTGCAGAAAAAGTAGAGGGCTTTCTGGGGAGAGCTTATCCCACTATTCTTTACAATTGACCCTTCTTCAAAACATTTTTTTTTATTTTTTATTTTAAATGTCTTTTTTTTTGCAGTGGGGTTACCTTCATGGCCCGGTGAGTTACAGAAATGCATTGGCTTGGAAGGGGTAAAGGGGGAATTGTTTTTTTTTAGGCTAGGTGATGCAAGCTGCTGCCCCTTGTAAAGGGTACAGCCGTTGCCCATCCCATCCATTCATCCAGGGGGTTATGCGCCGGATTCATACTATGAACCCCTGCACCAAATAGATGTTTTTTCAGTTCATTACAAAAAAACTGACAGTTAATTTTTGACATCAAACTTTAGGAGACAGTAAGCCTGCCGAAGTATTGACATAAATCGCAAATATATTTCACTATTGAAATAACGATGTACTTCATCTCAATACAGAGATACAGATAATGAAAAGCATCTCCAAGATACTATTTGCAACTCCAGCGAACTATAGGGGACATGCTGGTCAGGAAAAATGGCGGACAAAAGGAGGTCGTTTTCGTCGTTCGGCACGTGGCACACCATAAATTGCTTGCACCGCAGCGTAAAATCGGTGTTATAAATGAAAGCAAACAGATTTGTCGACGGTAGAAACCCCCCTCTAATCAGTGCATAGGAATGACACGGTGGAAGCATAAAAATAATTACTGGAAACAATGTTTGTTTCTATGCAACCTACGAGAACCAAGCAGCGATAGCAGACGACCGAGTCGAAATGACCTCCTCTCTTGAGCCTCTTAGCATTGCCCTTATGCGGCGTCAATTTCGCTGGAGTCGCCAATAACAATGTGCAATGCTAGCCAGCCCCAGTTACGGCCTCTCGTGATCTCTTGCGAGGCACCATCTAGCAGGCGGTCGTGGAACAGTCGTGGTTTCTGTACATCTCCTATTTCTTTTTGCGCATCATTTCATTAGGCCCGCTTCAGGCGGAACAACTTTTTCAGCAATTTCGGTGTTGCTGGCGGGTTGTTCCCTAGATCGACACAAATTCCTGAGATCGGGTCCAGCTCGAACGAGCGAGCAACTCGGAGCAATTCGAAGACGTTTGAAACGGCTGCAGCCAATCAGGGACGCAATATTTTCACGTGACACCCCTGTGGGGGTGATGATGACAGCTATAAACTTGGTTCTGTTCTGAAATGGATCACCTTCGGAAACAAACCTTTTCAGAAAGACGAGTTAGTAATCTCAACACTATTCAAAGATATAAAAACACGTTTTTAGCGCGTAGTTGTGCGTCTAAATAGTGTAAGAAAAATCAAATTTCATGATGATGATGGCAAGTCGTAGCAATTCGGTTGCTGCATGTGAACGCGGGCGGCCCGTGTTGCTGGAGTTGCGACGTCAAGTTGCTGGGCGAAATTGCCTCGTCTGAAGCGGGCCTTACGTGCTAGAAAATCTTTTGACAGTGTCATATACGACCATTTCTCATGGATGGTGCGCACATTGTATCTCGCAAATATGTTGTTTTATTTTTGGGTGAAGGGAAAAAAGGGGGGGGGGGGGGGGACTCGCAAATACAGCAAAACCTTCGTTCTAGTGAGATGCAGTTCCAGGGTCGCATCGTAGATGGCGCAAGCATGTCAGTATGTTCACTTGCCGTAAAAGACCACAAGAGTCCTCGAAAAACGCAAGTCTGTGAACGGTCCTACTGGAGCTACTGGCAGGACTCTGCACACCACTTCGTCAGTTCTCTGCAGAAGCGATGCATTGGGAACCCCACAACATTGAAGTAGTCTCCGTTGATGCGCTCCACGAGGCTTCCGCCCTTGCCCTGGATTCCGTAGGCGCCCGCCTTGTCGAAGGGTTCGCCCGTCGCCACGTACGCTTCGATCACCGCTGGGGACAGCAACGCCACAGACACTTCCGTCGTCTCCTGGAGCGTCCGCGTTTTCAGCTCGCTGCCGCACCAGTGGACAAGCGCCACGCCAGTCTGGACGAGGTGCGTCTTGCCACTCAGCTGCGTCAGCATACGTACAGCGTCGCTGGCGTCCTTGGGCTTCTCTAGGATCTGACCGTCCTGGACTGGAACGAGGACGCGGGTGTCACGGAGTACTTCTCAAAAGATGTCGTGGGGGGAAGGAGGGTAGAAAGAGGCAGTTTCACCCAACACAAGCCCCACGGAAGTGTATTTGAAACCAGTTCTCTGTTGCGTAAACACGAGCAGGTAATGGGTGGATATCAATCCTAGTGGCGACACCTCCACAGAAAGCGAAAAAAGAATTATCAAACAATGCTCTTTATGCACAAACTTTATATTTACCATGACAACTACAAAAGAATTGTGCAAAAAGGTAAACACTGTTCCAAACTGACATTTGCATCATTCATACCACCAGTATTTAGCGCGTTGAAGAAAAAGACTAGGTATGATCACTGCTCAAGTTTAAACTGACGAAGCAATGTTTTCAGTGCCCCAGCAGTAAAATTAGAGGATGATTTTTATGGAGTTGAACAAATATTCGAGAAAAAGGCACAAAAAAAAAAAAAATGAAAGCCGTATACAAATCCCTGTAACCCCGAATTGGAGCGCAGCTCTTGAGGAGGAGTAGGGAAGGGTACTGAGAAGGGTCACGTCAACTGCGGGTAGTCACGTGACCCCGGGGTCACGTGATCCCAGGGGAGGGGGGGGGGGTCACGTGACCCCCCCCCCCCCCCGGTCCGGTTACGCCGACGGCGACGCCGCTCAGGCTGGAAGCGGGCCCCTAAGAGCTGCGCTCTAAAAGTTCAGCCCGCCTATGACGTCGAGGAGAGATCCTCCTCTCTTCACGACCTCCTCACCCACTATGGTGTCTGCTCCGATGACGAGATCCACGGGTGTCGGCTCTTCCCTGAGCGCTTTCGCCACGCTCTGAGCTTTGCCGATAGCCGTTGCGAGAGCGTAATCCACTGGCTGAGCAAAGCGACTCTTGTCCAAGTTCTCTTTGAAGCTGGAGGCCACGATCTGACAGCGCAGACCGAGCACGCGGAGAATTTCTCGCCGCCGAGGAGAAGCGCTGGCTAGAACGATGCGCTTCTTGTCCAAAACCGAGAACAGTGGTTCTAACATCGTCGCCTTTTACGGATCACTAACTAAACCCTGAGACGCACACCCAGAGCTGGTAATCAACTTGGAGCGTCTTCAAATCACCGTGCTTGAAATAAACTAACAAAACCAACAAAACGCCAACGCCAACAACCACTCTTCAAATCACGAGTCTACAGTCTACTGTACACAATAAAAAAAAAAAAAAAAAAAAAAGATAGAAATTTTTTGCCATCTTTTTACTGTGGTTTAAAACTTGAAAACCTTGAAGTTATTAATCAAAATGCCTCTTTTTTAGGCTAATTTAATACTTTAAGCAGTAATATTGGTGATATTTCAAGTCACTGAATAGCCGTAATCTACAAAATCCATCCCAGAGCCAAGTATGAGCTAAGTCACAAGTCAAGTAGAAGAACGCCGAAAATTTTCAGAAGCAAGCAAGCTTGCGGTGATTGACGTTTCGAAAAGTGCTGTACACTGTTCCAGTTAATTTTTATTTATATGAACTGAAGCCCAATGACCGCGGTTTACATCTGTTGACCGCCTCAGGACACTACCTGCGAACAAGGCCGGTGAGCGAGCGGGGTCAGTGGCCGCCCTACAACCACTTGAACCTCAGAACTTCGACGGATATCCTAGTCGAGCTGACTCTTCAGTTCGACTGTAGTCACTGGCAAGATGAGAACGCCACTGCCTTCCGCTACAGTTCACTGTTCTTCCACCGTGCCTTGGCCAGATTACTCTATGCCGTGGCTGCCGTGCATGCTCGACGCACACTAGAGGCAGAGCTCGTGCGAATTAATTTAATCTCTCTCTCTCACTAGACACCGAAGTGGTATCGAAGTAACAGGCTCAAGCTGAGCTAGTTGGTTCATGCTTCAGCTGGGGGGCTATATTGCGCTTTTTGCACTCCCAGCAGACTAGGGAGAGGGAAGTGACGTCAACAACGCAGCAAATGCAGATTGGATGTTGATTTTGTTTTCTTCTGTCAACATCCAATCTGCGTTTGCTCTAGTCGTTGACGTCACTTCCCTCTTCCAAGTCTCCTGGGAGTGCAAAAAGCGCAACATAGCACCCCTGGCCTTATCTGATGTTATCGAAGGTAGGAAGCTCGCGCAGAATCTGAAAATCTGAAGAACCGTCCTGTCGTTTGAACCCGTCGTTGACTTTAGGATACTTACCTCGGGGCTACAAATGTGGCTTCAATTGAAATGGGTAATTCCGGTCAAAAGTCGAACGGAACTAAATGATTGATATCAATTCACGGAGACTAGATACGTTTGCTGCTAAAATATTGCACTAGTGGGAAACCATTATCCACTCTAAAACTGGTACAAAAGATGCTATCGCCAGCTTCTCAGCGGGCATTCAGCGGATTGGCCTTTTGTCAAGCAACCTTGTGCCCCGGCATCATGTTCGCACTCAAGGACGTTACTTGTTCGTACTGCCACTTCTACGCCTACGATTTCCTTTTACGTTTCAGCGGCCATCGTTTGTAAGTGCTCCTCAGCGATCGGCACACAAAGATGATTGACTCTCTTGCTCAAGCGTGTCGTGGTGCCGAAGTGCGAGGAGCCCAAGAGACTGGCACTGTTGCACAATATCAAGCACTCCTTGCTGTGTTGTGGGCTGCGCAACGACCCGCTGCACAACCTGGACGTGCGTTTTTACCAGTTCTCCACAAGCTTGAAGTTAAGGAAGGCGTAGGTCAACGCCGTACGTCGAAGATATTTTGGAAGGCCTTAACTCTAATACCTTGACTGGCAGCCATAATTGAGTTTGGTCCTGCTCAGCGCGAGCTTACGATAAGCTTCCACAACGCTTCTGCTACGTGCATTGCTAACCACCGAGATTGTAGCTCTTCTTAAGAGATAAGTGGGGGCTCGTTCTAAGCCTGTGCTGTAGACACCACGGTCAATTATGGTACCCATAAAATACCAGCTATTTATCGAGGTGAACTCGCTTTTCGACCGGCAATACTGTAAACGACTTATTTTTCGCGGGCTCAGTATTTTGCGATTTTTAGGTCAAAGCTTAAATTTTGAAATAATTTTCGGGTTCTAATTTTTGCAATGCGGTGGGACCTTAATATAGATTCCAGTGTGTTTGCATCTTACCAAAATATTTCGCGGGACCTATTTTTTGTGAATTGTAGGCTATTTGTGAAATTTGCATAAATTAGGTCCTTGCAAAAATTAAGTTGTTAACAGTATGCATTAATATTTGCTACAGATATCTTGTAACTGCGAAGCAAAGCAGTAAAACAGCCATAGCATCTTACTTGTTTGATAAAAGCTGCTCTTGCAACTAGACCAGTTGTACGTTTTGCAGTACCGCAGTACAAACCTGGCACCACATGATGGCTTTGGATTGGATTGGATTTTGTCAGCTAAACCCTTTGTAGTGGGCGATCACAGCTTAAAACTAAACCTAGCCATAAAACTTTAAAGAAAATAAAAGAAGCTTCAAACTGCTATCTTTTTACCCCAGTATTCTTCCTGCCTTCCCTACAATTTTGCCCTGCCAGTCCTCTGATCTGCCACATTGTCCACCACCGCCTTGGGTTCTCCGTCGGCCTGGTCGGTCGTTGGTGCTACTCCGTTGCATACCGGCTGTACTTGATGCGCCAGTATTTTCCCTCGCAACCTCAGCGCAGTAGCATAGTCTTGCAACCTTGATCATCAAGGTTGCCATCTTCTCGAGCCGGTAGTTTCGGTTTCGCCGTAGACCCCTGAAACAAATCTTTGAGGTAAGATATCTACAAGACTACACAAAGCATAAAAAAATAAGTTACACCTTGTAATTCAGGGATACTTCCTGCACTAAAAACAGTAGTAACCTTAAAATCAAGAAAAATTACTGGTGTTACCTTTTAACAGATGTGTGCAAGAGTCGCTCACTCGACATACAGGAAGGTCCTAAGTCGCTCGCGAAACACAGGGTGTAAACTATAGTTTGTTGAAACTCAAGAAGGTAAGGCAAGGGAAAGGAAGGCCAGGGACGAGGAAGCAGATGGAAGGCTGGACAGGGAAGGAGGTTTCCTCTCCTCTCCAGCATTCTGTCTGTTTCTCTCTCACCAGCCTTCCCTTCCCTCTCCCTACCTTCTTTAGCTGTAACTTACGATAGAGATTTAGACAACTCTAAAAGTAGAAACATAAACAGTCAATACCCACTCTCAAACATCTGCAACATCTTGTGTTTTATATTTGATTTGCTTTAAAGAACCAAGCCCAGCGAGCATTGAGCTTCAGTACCTCCACCTTTTAGTGAGACGTTGCGTATGTGATGGCAACGAATGGTGGATTACTACGCAGTCCCAGAGTTTTTCCTAAAATGTATTTCGCATGCCTGAACTATGTACTTTGTTTCACGTTTCAGAGATTTTTACCATCGTACCATGTTTTTTTTCTTCTTTCTTTCAGAATAATCACAACTGGTGTTCATGAACAATGCCTCGAACTCAAACCAGAAACTTAACCCTAAATATCCTTTTTGTGTTTTAGCTTGTGTTTTAGAGTGCATATCCCTTGCACTCTTCTTGTCATTTTAAGACCTTCTAGTTCTGCTATGGTTCTGGCACGCTACTTGAATATTTTATTGTGTAATGTGCTTTTTCTGTGTGTGTATTTATGGGTGTAGGCAAGCTCTTACCAAGGTCAGCATTCTTGCAAGGAACAGAATATCAACATGCAAGAATGATGCTCGAGCTATCAGCTATTGATGAAAATGCAGATGACTGTGTCAGCTGTCCCTCAATCACGCTTCATGACAAAGAAAAACAAATATTGACGGTGAGCTGCGGCCAGAGAATTGTGATATCAGTGCTTCGATCACGCTTGCCAGTATCTGCGATGTTCTATAGCCCAGTGACTAGTGGTGAGCATGTATGACTGATATGTGCTCATTTTACATTGTTAATATTTATTTTGTAATTTTTGTAATTTTTAATTTTTTAACATTTGTTTTTAGATATTTCTTTCTTTTTCAGAGTTTTCCAAATGTTAACCAAATTATTTAATCTCATAAACATTAATGGTTGAGAGACTGAAGGTGAAGACTAGGCGAGGGTTGAAGAAGATGAAAATAGTAAAGAATGCTTGATAGTCAGCTGTGTGTATGTCCTGTCTCTGTTAAGTGTTTTTTTTGTTCAAACTGTTTTCCCACCTTTTGTAATAATCTGGTATTTACAGTTACCTTGTTACCATTATTGCACACATATAATAATGGTAACGGAACACGATGATAACCTAATCATCCGCGTTCCGCCACTGCTAGCTTTGCGCCTGCTACACAAGTGGTAACTTTGGTGCGCCTCTGAGTTTCCTACGAGCTTCAAGTCGTTCTAAAAAGAGTTGATTTAGTGGTTTTCGATGACCCTCAGGAAGTTTCTAATGGGAACCATATGTCTATTGTCACTAATTAAAAAGTTCATTAATTAAAAGTTCAACAGCCGACGTACCGCACAGATTAGCCACCCACATAATGTCTCCCTGGCTGTATAACTCCCTCGCACCCCGCATATATATATATATATTATATATATATATATATATATATATATATATATATATATATAGGTAAAGTAAGGTAAATATAAAAACAATGGACCGGGAAAAGTTAATAAGTCAAAGATGCGTACTGTCGGAGTTACTAATTCGAAGTTTATTACGACGTTTCGAGCGGGGACCGCTCTTCATCACCTGATGAAGAGCGGTCCCCGCTCGAAACGTCGTAATAAACTTCGAATTAGTAACTCCGACAGTACGCATCTTTGACTTATATATATATATATATATATACGGGGTGTCCCAAATAACTTGCACCAAACTTTACAACTAAAAAAAAAAAATGTAGCGCTCTGTGAGTGTGAAACCAACTGTTTTTAAAAAATTTTGGGAATCTGCAAAATTTTTTAGTGTGCCTACTAATTATCTAATTTTTCTAATTATTTGTTTAAAGAACCCCTCAAAAGAAAAAAAAATTAACAATCTGGTTGGGACACGCGTGTCAAAAAATAATTTTATGCAAAAAAAAAAAAATTTTTTCTAGAACAATATTGTTGGCGCGAGACGCTATTTAGTCGGTAGCCACCTCCTTTTCACTTGTTTTCTCTCTCAGCATTTCGGGCGCGTAAAGGAGAGGTGGAACGGCTTCGCCTTCACATTGAGGGGAAAAAGACCGAATG